CTTCAAAATGCTCGAATACTTTGATACATTTATTATGTGATTTTATTTCATGTACCAAGAGCTCTGCAAACTCCTCAGTGTGCTAAATATTTATGGAATTGCAGTTTCTCAGAATGATTGACATCGCCATGTTGGACCTCGGAGTGTTCTGTGTGTACTAAATTGTGTATGTTACATTATGTCCCTTATTGCCTGGTAACTAGTGAGCTTTACTGTCTTCCCGATGACTTCTTTACCAGTGAATGTTGACTCCTACCTTTTCGCATTTTTCAGGCGATCCCAACGAAGTTGCTGGAACATTCGGCAGAGTTTACCTTTACAAGATGTTGGGCTTCTTTAGCCTTGTTGGCCTTTGTCGCGTCCACTGTCTTCTTGGGGACTACTATACTGCCCTGAAGATGTTGGAAAACGTCATCTTTAGTCATCAAGTATGTTTTTTAAACTGAAAACTGGACGTCTTTGCAAATTTAAATCCGTTTTTGTCAATGTCTACTAATGCCCCCCAGCATATGCGACATACCACTGCGCGTATTATTATTTGCAGGTGTACTGCCAGTGAAGTTTCTTCAGCATCCTCACGCTATAACAAAAACCAGCTTATCCTAACAACATAAATTGTTCTATCAGGCTGATTAAAATCTGTGGACTATTGAGAATTGTTTGGGGCACACACGTATTCAGTTGCACCCGCTAGCATTTCATGTCCAACGAACTACTATGGTGCCAAAGTCAGTGGTTTTTACAATTCCATTTTTTGCATTTGAAAGTAGTTTTTGGAGTCTTTGTATAGAAATCGCATTTCGACCGCCCCAGGGTGATAATTAGCGTTTTGTCGGATTTTTTTCTTAAAATCAGATTACCGTGGTTTTACTGATGCAATTTTTTTCTAGGAAATGTATCACGAGGTACCTACATGTCACATCACCACCGGTTACTATGTTGGTTTTGCCTACATGATGATGCGTCGCTTCCAGGATGCCATTCGTACCTTCTCCAGCACTCTAACTTATATATCCCGTGCAAGCGGCTTTGTCTCACAGCGTCAGGATCTGCGTGACTACGTTGTAAAGCAGTCGGATCAAATGACCAGTCTCCTTGCTATTTGCTTTACCCTCAATCCAATGCCCATTGACCAGTCGGTGGAGCAGCAACTCCGTGAGAAGTACGCTGAGAGCCTGAATCGCCTTCAACAAACGTACGTCGGCTTTTTTGGACTGCGCATGCTGACATTTGAGACCTGCAAGTCTGAGCTATCCAATTTACACAAACCTTTACCGCTCTAACTTGCTTGAAACGGCCTTATAATTGCCGGGTTGCTGGTCTTCCATTGGAACCTCATCGTCGTATCTGCAGAGACGGAGACTTCCTGGCCTGCTTGCTACTTTAAAGTTACGACGATAGCCGATATTGAAGCATTCCTAT